AGTATCAGCTCCACCTGCATCTAATTTATATTACTGTTCTTGCAATTTCACATCAGTGCTGATTGTAGTACCTTGATTCTTTCTAGTAACATATTTGATCATCATATCTGGCTCATTGATGATAACATCTCTGCTAATGATACGTTTAAATTCATCTAACAGATAACATCTATACGCTTTGACTCTCTACGGATATCCTAAGAATAATCATTTTATGAATCTTGGTTCTAGCTTTTCTTGATTCACATGAATATAAATCGGGCATCTAAAAATTCTTAAATTGTTGTAACCTGCCTTTTTCCCTGTCCAGACTTTCCAGGAGTTTTGATTTCAAATGTTATAGAAGGATGTCTCTATTTACCAAGTAGCAAGCAGTGTCAATTGCTTCTACTTAGATGTGCTTATCCTTTTTTGCAAATAATTGTATGCATGTTATATTCTCTAGCAAAGTCTGATTCTTCCTATTAGCAATACTATTATGTTTTGGAGTCATTCTAATCATCTTACGTTGAGCAATTCTATTATCTATGTAAAACTTAGTAAACTAACTATCCAGAGATTCTAACCCATTATCTATTTTCAATCTTTTGGTTTTCTTTCCAGTTTGGTTCTTAATGAAAATTTTCATTGCTTGAATGTTTTAGAAGCTTTGCTCTTATGTTTCAGAATATAAAGCCATATTTTTCTTCAAAATTTATTAATGAAAGAGGTAAAATATCTATCTTCACCACATGTTAAAATAGTAGGTCCCCAAATATTTGAATGTATGTACTCAAGAGTCATTTTGGGTATTTTTTGTCCTACACTAAACATTACCCAAGTAGATTTCCCAAAGATACAATGATGACATGGATTAATCTTATCAACATTGTTTTTTTCAAAAACTCCTTGCCCGTGAAGAATATTTAAACCCTTATGACTAATGTGAACTCGTCGAAGATGTCGAAGTCTTATTTGATATGTTTCTATAACATACAAAGTGCCTATTAAGCAAGTCATAATTTTTCGAAATGATGAAAACAAACCATTCTACATATTTTCTTTCGTTAAGTACAAATGAACCTTCAATACCTTTTAGCACAACATTTTTAGCTTTGAAAATAAAACCTAACACATAAAGAGTATCGAGAGACAATAAGTTCCGTTTAAGGTCTGGCACATATCTGACTTCAGTTAAAGTTCTAATCACTCCATCATCAGTTTTAAGTCTAATAATTCTCATTCCAATAACTTTACAAGCTGCATTATTTCTCATGATAACCTTCCAACCACTTGCTACCTTGTATGAATCAAGCCGGTGCTTATCAAGAGTCATATCAAACGAACAACCAAATCCATTATCCAATTATCACTATTACAATCTATTGTAACAACCAAAATCTTCAAGTCCACATATTTATTTGTTGGTGCTGAAGTTTCCCCAAATTTTATTACTTTTCCCTTATAATTTTCCTTGTAATGCCCTGCGTTTTTCTAGCATTTAGATGTTGGTTTGTACCTCTGTTTATCATCTTATCTCTGGCCTTTTTCTAGCATTTAAACTTAGGGTGTGTTTGGGACGGCTGCAGCTGTCAGTAAAGTAGGTTGCAATATTATTGTACAGAAAATTGCTTTCAAAAATTGTTGTACATAAAGCAGAATATTTTGTTTGGGAAGTGTAACTGTTAAGTTGCTGTGTTGCAGCTGTATGGAAATAAATTACCTTTATATCCTTATATATTGAGATGAAAAAAAAATGATGTAAATGTCAACTTAAAAAAAAAAATTAAAAATTTATATGCTAATAAACTAACAATTCTAAATTAAAAATTGTATTATTTTTGAAATATTTTATAACTATTAAATATCATAATATAATCTTTTTTCTATAATGTTTTAGCAGATGAAAACCATTCCTCAAAAGAGAAATGAATATTTTGAAGCTTTCAAAGACCAGAAGGGTACATGCATAAAGATTTATGGTTGAAGTGTGCCCTAAGGTGATACAAGCATTGGAAAACAATAATAATCACAGAAATCACAAGGCCAAAAAAGGTCGACATCAAATCTATTATCCAAAACTACATTCAACGAATAAGAAAGAAAATTTTCAATTGTGATGGAAAAAAAAGCACTCAATTCCCCAACTTTTTACAAGATAAGAACATAGTTACTTCTTTGAAGAGCTCTAGATCAAGCTCAACGGGTGAAAGGAGCATATCAGCGCGCAATAGGGTGTCGATAAAACATGAGCTCGTGCATGCTCGCCGTCGGCACTGAGAGAAATAAAAAGAGTGTCGTGTGGGTGACACCGTCGAAGCGAATGCTGGCAACGGAGATGCCGTTATCCCGTAGAACTGCGGCGAGCAGTGGACTGAAATCCTCATCGCCAAGCTTTCCAACGAAGGCTGACCAACCTCAAAGCTGTGACACGGCGATGGAAACATTTGCCGGAGCACCTCCGGGAGCTTTGACGAAAGCTGGCGCCTCTGCCAGGGAAACACCGGCAACTGTTGGGATGAAATTCAATGAGCATCTCTCCGAAGCTGACTATAGTGAATTCGTTCCGGTTTGATGTGGCCATCGAAATTGGCTGAAGGGAGAGAGGTGGGAGGAGTTAAGCGGATCAAGGCAGAAGAGGTGAGCCAGATTGGTGCAAGCGATCTAGAAAGTTGAGGTCGTGGAAGGCGCCGAAGGTTGCGAATATTTGCATGTGGGGGATTTACGTCATTTTTTCGCAGAAAGCAGCGGACCGCAGGAGACAGTGAAAGGTTGCGAGAAGCGGCTATGTGCCGTGAATTTTTTCTGACGCAGTTCTGCCGCAATGCCCCAAACGAGAATTTAATAACTTTTTATACAGCAAAGCAGCAGTAACGCCATCCCAAACGCACCCTTAGAGGTCTCTTGATTATTTCTCAATATTGATTTCAATCTCTTTGGATTTCAAATTTGTTTGAATCTCTTCCAATGTTAGAGTCTATGAGCATATTTAATGGTTTTGATAAAATGAGCATATAATTTAGGCAACAAATTCAAAATTGTTATAGCCTAATCCTCATCATTTGCATTGATCATAAAGTTCTCTAAATTTGTGCCAATCTTATTTAAATCATTCAAACTATCCTCCAAAATTTTTTATTCAAACATCTTAAATTAAAACAATTTATCCTCTTAGTAAATCATTTTCTGCAAGTTCTTAATTATATACTTTTGTTCTAATCTTGACTAGAACCCAACAGCAAACATCTCCTTATCGATCTCACTGAGTATCATGTTGCTCAAATGAAACACAAACATATTTTATGTCAACTTCATGATTTTTTGTTTTCTCATATGCTTTAAAGAACTAGGCAAAGTCCTCTTTTTTTTTTAAGCCTCAGTCACTTGGACTAGAGTGGCTTTTCATATGTTTCCATTAAAATTTATATCAGACCTCTCAATTTTGACCTTGAAAAACTCTCTTTCTGGAAATCCAATTTGTTATGTTAAATTGATTCATGTTTTTCCAAATGATAGAAAGAAGACTTTCCAAATGATTTGGTTATTTCGTATGATCTTTTATTTCAGTTCACTACTATTAAACCATAAACCATTAAAGAAAGATATTAAACTTGCCGAGAATTCTTTCCTACAATCAGAACAAAAAACCAATAGAAATCTTTTCTAGCATACATAAACAGTAAATTTAATCTTATATTTAAAAAAAAACCTTAAGTATGTATGTATTATTACCCATATAAATTAAGTCTAAAACTATATGTATGTATGTTATGGATGTATGCATGTATGGTATGAGTGGATGCATGTATGTATGTAAATATAGTTAAAGAGATAAACTCAAAAAACTGAAAACAGTTTTGATTCCAATACAACACAGATATATATATATATATATATATATATATATATGCTAAAAAAAGATGTGACAATAGATATGCTAAACAAAGATTTGAAACTAGCAAATACGAATTAGTAAACATTTAAACAACAATAAGATTAATGACATGGACAATTTAGGTGGTATGATTTGGAATGCCTATATCCACGGGGAGAATTTGGGGCAATAACTTTTATTAATAATATAAAATCAGCTTATAGATTAAGAACCATAAATCAAATTGACTTAGTAATTTTGATATAAGAATAAAGTAAGGAACAACGTTACCCGATCTCCTTTTAATTCCGGTTAATATTTGTAGCTAAAAATTGAAGAAACAATCTTGGCTAGCACCGTTAACCTCTACTCTCAATTGTAAGAGAAAACACCTTTTTTAATTTTTTATTTTTAGAAAACACCTTGTTCTCTATGATATCCCTTATTTCTCTTTCTATATTTTGTCGAAACGAAGACACACACTCTCTCTCTCTCTTATTTCCGCCCAGCACCCTGTCCCTGCCCCCACTGAACGTCTAAATTGGACAATAAACACACCTAGAAGAAGCTACATAATAGGCTGCATGAGAAATAATATGTTTGTAAAATAAAACAGCATAAATGGATACCACAATAATTCGATTTTAGATAATTCTGATGTTTGATTTAAAAGAAAAATAACATATAGAAGATGCACTATAATACGGATATATAAAATTAGCATTAAGGATTAAGAAGAAAAATGGGTACACTGAAAGTAACAGTGATGGCATTTTTGCAAAAGGATTTGTTCTAAATAGTCTTACTAGGAAAAAATTGAGAATGAGGATTTATAAAGCTGACTCCAAATGGTTTGGATAAAGTTAATGATGTGATGAAAACAATCTAAATTGATGGGCATTTTTTTAAAGAAAACTTTTGCCATTGTAGCTTATTTAATACATAAACAGTCTAAAGTAAAGACATATATGCATGCTTTATGGAAATTAATCAACTCATCTTGGTCTATTCTATTAAGGGGATAAATGAGTTCCATTGTATGGAAACATGCTTTGGTTTGATATGATTATTTGTTGATATTGATATTGTTATGCATCTAGTATTTTCTAATTTCCTTTTAAACAACACTATTTGACATTTTTCTTAGGTAGGCATTCTAGGAAATGCAGTTGATTTACATAACGATGATAACAATGGTGCTATGACTGGTAACTCAGATAGGAAGGCAATGATGATTGCCTTTGACATGAGGTATGTAGCATAACCCAAGTAATAGAATCATTGAAATCTACCTTACAAACTCATGCAAAAATTCTTACATCGTCATCTCACATGTTTAATTTTTTATTTTTTTCTGTTGTTCAGATGTGTTGGTTTCATGATGGCCAAGATGGTTCTAAAAGAGCTTATGGATCCTTCAACCTTTACGAAATTTAAGTTGTTTCTGAATAAGGTTTGTTGAGAAAAATCTGTGTGCATGCATTAGCTGTTGTTATTTAATTTAGATTTAGATTTGTACTTATCTTATCGATCTACTCCATTTGGATTTCATCCTGTATTGACTTCCTGGAGAAAATCTACTCCACAACTTTAGATTATCGAATTACTTAATGAATTTCCAAGGTTGCATGTTCGTAAAATCATTGATTTGGACCAAGTTGATGTCTTTACTTATAAATTTGAATTTGCAGCAATTTGATGTACTTAATCACATATATCGGACTCATAGTCCTTGGGCACCATACCCCATTTTTTATTTTCTTTGAGCTGAAACAAATACTTAGTTTTCCTATGACTTGTAAAAGTGAAGAAAAGTGTCTTACTCTCTTTGTTCAATCTCTTAAATTGAGAAGTTGATTCTTGTTGTTGCTGGTCTTTCTTATCATAACATTCCTTTCCTCGTCTAATATCTTAAGATCTCACTGCTTATGGAGTGCAGGGAAATGACTCATCATGCCTACGAGAATTCCTTTTGCCAATTCTATGTCAAGACTCTCCATCTGGAAATGCTGGTTTGCAAGTTAATAGTCCGTCCTTCATTTGCAGCCATCTAAGGCTTCATTTGGGATGGCTTTCTTACTGCTTTTTAAAGCGGCTTTCTAGTGCAAAAAATTTATTTTTTTGTACTAAAAAACTGCTTAAAGAAGCTGTCTCAAACGAAGCCTAAATGTCCATTGCACAATTATTCACTGTATGATATGATGAACATAATTTTCTTAACAAGCAATTTTATTTTAATTTTTTTTTCTTTTATTAACAGATGCTGGATAGGAACTGGGGTGCTGGTTGGAACCTGTTATCGTTGTTTCTTGCTACAAAACCATTTGCAAGAATAAGGTATTATGAGTCTGGGATGCTACATCTCTTATAATCGTTTTCATATGTACGCATTGTGGCTCCGAAAATTTTATATTGTGCGTCCCAGCCTCTCCGTGCCATCAGTCTCTTGCAAATAAAACCTTCTATTTCTGTGTGTGTGAGATGTGAATGGGCCGAGCGATAATTTTGCGTCGTGAGAGATTGTGGGGAGCAGGGTCGTGGAAGAGGCGGTTTGGTTGTGCTATCGTGGGCTTGCGTGGCTTCTTCGTGTGGGCTGGTCGGCTGGGTAGTTGGGACCGGTTGGTTAGGGGTTGTTTGTGTGTGGGGCTGGCAGTAGTTACAGGTCAACATGCATTTATATCTTTCTCATGGTATTGTGACCAGCGTGCCTAGGATATTATAGCTTCTTTTATCATTCCTCTTTTAAATTTTTTTTTCATTTTCATTTATTACTCTTAACTTCTAGTCTTTATTCTTCATATTAAGCGGTACTAAATTTTAATGTTCTGCATCTTATTGCAGTTGTTTGGATGCATTGAGGCATCCATTTCTTTGTGGACCTAAATGGCGCATAGACCCATCTATGGATTTAATTAGGTGGGGATTAGGATCAACCGCTGTCAGAATGTCAGAAGATTATATCTATGGAAGGCATCAGGTACATGCAACGCTTGAGATTGATATTTTTGTTAAGTTTTGTTAGCTCACTGATTGTGGAATAAGATGGAAACCATTACTGGTATGATGCACAGTAGCATCATTTTCTATCCCTGATTTTCATAATGGCATCATTTTGTATACCGAAATCTCTTCCCATTATTTTGAATTATTTTAAGTAGCCTTCAATGTTTTTTTGAAAAAGGTGAAACTACTTAGCATATTCATGAATATGTTATGAAAAACAAATTTTTGAAGGGAATTTTATACGCATAACGCACATTTCCTTATATATTTTCATGTCAATATTTAAAATTTGATATTTATTTGTGTAACACTTCAGTGTCTCAATCACATAAAAATATAGATATAAAAATATATATTTTTTAATTTTAAAAAGTTTATATTAGTAGTATTTTTGAATTTATTTAAAGAATAGGTAATCAATAATATTCAGGAGTTAGATACGTAAATACATAAGAATTATGTGACATATGCATGCAAGTTCCCCATTCTTAAAAGATGATGGTGATTCACTGTTCAACCCTGTGTTTGCTAAATGGATCTTTTTTTTTTTGGTTAGTGTTATTCTTATGAACTTTGTATTCGGAAATGCAGGCAGACATTTATAAATTTTCTTTCAATTTTGTAGCGCCGGAGGCTAGCTTATTTGATTGAACTGATGGAGTTACTGAATCCTCATCCTAAGTTAAAGGTAACGTTCCTTTTCGATTTCCTGTCCGTTTAATTCTGCTTTTATCTATTTTGGTGTTCCCGCTTATGAAGGGATGCTTGAAATAATGAAAGGGCTAGACTTCTCACTGCCAATTTTCTGATTAAAATTGCCGTTGAGCTATTCAAATGCTGACTTAGGCTTCGTTTGGAACGACTTTTTTACTGCTTCTTGAAGCAGCTTTTTATTTTTTACTAATAAGCTGCTTCAAGAAGCTGTAAAAAAGCCATCCCAAACTAAGCCTTAATCCATAACAGAAAATTTCTCAGATTATAGCAGTCCCTCAGTTAGTTAACTGCCCTCATGATGCCTGGAACAAGATGGTTTACCATTTTTTCATGCCATCTATTTCTGTATCCTCAAATTGAAACTATAAAGCTCTTTTCCTATATTAAAATGATATCTTGAACATGTCTAGGCTTGCAAATCAAATTCTTGTGTTCTCTAAGTCTGTTCCAATGCTGCTCAACTTGCAGGTTGCGCTGGTGAAGAAGTTTAGTAATCCTAGCGAAAACAGAGAATTAACAGTAAATACATGAGAATTATTTAACTTAAAATTTGTTTGAAATTCTAGAAATAAATGGGGGAGAAAGAAACAGGCAATTAGGAAGATGCTAGATGCCCACAACTCCAAGTAACATTGGTGGGGAGAGGGAGGTGAGCCTAATTTCATTGTCTTTTACATTTTGCTTGCCCAAAAGTTTCCTAAGAGGGAGTGTTTATAGGCTGAAGATTCTTATGACCCATTAAAACACCTAATAACAACTTAAATAACCAAACTACCTAATACCGCACTAAATTACCCATTCCATTTATTCCCTAACATTTGGCTTGCACAAGATTTGGATCACGAAAGTTCTCTCATGATCGAGATGGGTAATTAACTATAGGGGCTTGCGTCTATAAGAAACCAGAACTCAGATCATAAAGTCCCCTCAAAATGAGAGTGAAATCTCTTGGTACTGTCTTATCTTCAAACCCATCTGCCTTCCCAATGTAATCCGTTAAAACTCCCCTAAAAGAGAAAAGCAAACAGGGGAGGCCGGGGCCGAATTTTCGGAGCCCGCAAAGTCCTTTCCTTTTACTAGACTTTCTTAGAACTTCTCATGCGGCCTCAGCGAGGAGCCGAATGATAATTCTCCTCTGTTTTCATCTGCATTATTTGAGTTCTTTTTTGCTTCATCGATGAAAACTAGCATTTTTGCTAGTCTTCGTTGCTCTCTGACTTCATTTGATTTATACTAATCTAGAACTGGATGGAAATTCTCCATGGTCGATGGCGTCTGCTATACTGCACAGGAAGACACTTGGGACTAACCCTTCGCCAACCTTCCCGCAGAGTCATCATCGGAAGCGCATACCTCACTTTCACCACCTCCGACAACTCCGACGAACCTTCTCTTCTCCTTACTTCCAACATAAGCTTCAAGATCATGCCGATCTCTTCATGGCCTCATGATAAATCCGGCTCGCCTGGAAGCTTGCTTGTCAAATCGAAAGCCAAAATAACATCCGGTAGAAGATTGTACCTCAGAGAAGAAGACGGCGCCATGCCGAGCCACTTCAGCTCTCAGGAATCCATTTCGTCGGCTCTGTTGAGCAAGAAATGGAAGGGCGTTGGGTCCGTCAAGGAGCTTCCGTACAGTCTCCCAGCTGCAGAAATTCTCCACGGCGAGATCGATGTGTCGATGAACCTGGAGCAATCGTCGTCACCTTCAGCCATTGGTGAAGCACAAGCTGTGCTCAAAGAGGTCAGAACTCAGATCCCGCCGGAAATGTTCGATATTTCTAAGCTTGTTTGTGGTACCTATGTTGACTCAAGAATGCTTGTCCTTCGTGGGGTTAACGGCTCAGCTTTACTATTCACGAGATCCTGTGCTTTAAATTAGATTTGTAGTTGTTATTTATGGTAGATTAACGTTGTCATTTGTTATTTGTATTATTCTACTTGATTCAATGATCTTACCATTTGTATGTAGTAGATATGAAGCTTAATAAAATTATAATAAAATTGATTTGTAGATATAAAATAATAATTAACAAGTTGTCTTATAGTGTCACAAAATGTAGACATAATTATGATATTTTTAAATTTTTTATTATTAATATTAATGAAATGTCTCTGTATTAGTTGTGCTTTTAGTATTCATTATTTATATTATGTTCTTTTTATTTTGTTGCATTCAAAATTGAAAAACATTAAGTTTTTATTATAATTTTTATTGTTAATATAGAGTTCATTTAGAAAGGTTAAAAGTATTTTATATAATGATAATTTAAATTAATTTTTAAATATATTTTAAATTAATAGAGTGACTCAATGAGATTATGAGTTGAGCCAGGCTGAGCTTGAGGTTGAGCTCATTTAATATACGAGCTCGAGTATAAGTTCCAATTTGATCTAATTCTATATGAGTAATATATTTGTTAGGCCAATTATAAAATAATTTGGAGTAATTGATCCCAAAAATGTCATTCATTAAGCAATATTAATAAAAAAATTTAACCTCCATTGTGTTAAAAAAGCTAGAACTTGGTCTTCTTTTTTTCATCATGATCTTTATATAAAAGTTATAGCCATTAATACAAAATCCCTTGACTATTCATGCAATCAATTTAGGACCATTTGCAAGGGCTCTAATATCATCTTTATTGATGAATCACAAGTAGATGTAATTGAAACAAAATCAAAGCATAAGTGAAAAAAAAAAAAAAAATCAAAATTTGAGTTACACGTTGAGAATTTGATTTATTGATTACTAAAAATTGTTGCTTATTGCTTTATTTGATTGTGCACATTACCTTAGTGTAATGAATAAATCTAATCGTTGTGGTTTGACACTCAAAGTTTAAGTAGTATTGTGATTAGAGGTTGAGTTACAATCACATTAAATAGCTATCTAGTGTGATCTCACTTAAGCGCAGAATGCTCAACTATGAAATGAAGAGCTTAATGTATTGGATGAAATCAGACTCTACGCTTAGCAAAATCTTAAAATTTATTGAGCAAGGATGCCCGGTGTGTCCTCGAACATTCGAAGAAGTGGACTTAGCTTTAGTGCTGAGAAAATTACTTATTCCCAACAAAAAAATTGATGCTAAGTTTGAACAATTTTGGGAAGGACCTTTAATCATCAAGAAAGTATATCAAGGAAAAGCTTATTAACCTATTGATTCAAATGATTAAAGACACATGCCACTAATCAATGAATGATTTTATGAAGAAGTAGCATGCTTGAAAAGGAAGAAAAATTTTCTTGGCAAGTAAACATGTCATCCTTATTTATATCAGTAAGCATGCTATGATTCTCCTATGTAATAGAGGCATTTTTTCGAATATTTATCTCGGTTAACATTGTTCTTCGAGTCAAGATCCTCAAATAAATATTTAAAATTACAAGTGATATAATTTTTTAAGCAAATAAGTAGTAAGATAACACCTTCAAATATACACATATGTGGCCACAATGATGCTGTAAATTCATTTCTTAATTCATTAAGGTTATTAAAATCAAATGAAAAGATTTTCAAAGTCTAAAAACCTTAAGGAATCAACCAGGAAGAGCATAGACTATTGTGGCCCAAGTCTAATGTGAGGGAAAGTTTATAAGGTTAAACTCAACATACCCAAATATGATTGAGTCGTTGATAACCCTTTCAAATCAATGAGCCATAAGAAAGACCGCATTAAGAGATCCTCTATGTTGTTAGCCCAATGATAACATATATGAAGTTTGAAGCTTATCAAACTTATTGAGTCAGATTAACTCAAATCTAAAATATATCTCAATTGATTAATAAATTTAGGTGGAGTCTTAAACTATTATGAATCATGTCAGAGGAGCATAGACAATCATAGCCTATATCTAGTGCTCGAACAAGTGTATAAGGTCAGGCTCGACTAGCCTAAATGTGTAATTGAGTTGTTGACAATTATTCTTACTCAACAAGCCATAAGAAATGTCATATTATAAAGGTCTCTGTGTTGTGAGCCCTTTAACAAATGCTATTATCTAATGTGGTGAGTTTAAGAAGCCCATATTAGAAGTTTTTTTCCAATTTGTCAAAAGGTCAAGGTATTACCAAAAGGATGATATGATATTCAAGAATATATAAAGCCATTATTAGTTTATTTATCAAATCAAAATTTAATCACTTCAGTAAGGTTATTAATTACAAAGCAAGTACCTAAGGAGCGTCTCTTCTTCAATAAGTTCGATAGTGTAGAAAAAATAGGACCGAAGAAGTTATCCATATGTTTATATAAAAGCTCAATACTGAATGTAGTGAATGTTATCATTAATAAATTTGTTATGCATGCAGCTCTAAATAGATAGCTCATTGCCATGAACCTAACATAAACCCTAAGGGAAAGGTCACATGTGTGCATTCTTCATCAAGCCTATTGAATTAGAAAGCATAAGGAAAAAGGTATGCTCAATTCATGATGAGTCAAAGTAGATAATTCAGGCCAACCGCTTCATCAAGCTATTTTGATTAATATATATATATATATATAAATATATATATATATATATATATATATA